AATCTATGGTTCTTAAAAATATGGGAAAGCTTTTTGGTAAGAATGTCTTATGATTCAGGCAATAGCAAATGCAGTAGTTCCCTTGCATTTTCTTCTCTACGGTCACTAATCTATAGTCAAGTATGATATGAAAACATTAAGTGAAAAAAACCTCACATAATTCACAACTCTTTCATTGCTTGCCATTCTATCATGATGAAATTTCACAATGTCTTCGTCTGCTCCACTGGGACCCATATTCATTCCTTTCTGTAGCCCATCCCCACTCTACTCATATACAAGTCTTCTTGGCTGTCAAGAAGATCTACATTCCCTTTAAACAAAATGAAATCACAGAAAGAATGTGTACGAGAGCCTACAAGAATTTATATAATAATGATTATATATAGTATAGGTATCGTCGTTTTACTGCATTCATTAACATCTTACTGTGCCTAGTATATAAACTTTATCCTAAATGTCTACATAAAGAAAACAACATGTATAGGACTTGGTACTCTATGTGGTTTCAAGTATCATTGGAGGGGATCACAGGAGCTGGTGTGATGCCCTCGGTCCTAGCTAGTGAATGAAACAGGTAAATGCATAAACAAGGCCGTACGCCATGTGTTGTACAAACAGAACATAGTAATACTAGTGTGTGTTGAACTCGTGCGCAAAGACTTAGTAGACAGACACAAAAGTACATAGTCTTTTGTGACCCAGAAATCGTTGTTCAGTATGTGTTTGATTCACACAAGGAATATTGTTATTCAAACACGCCTTTAATCCCAGCACTTGGGAGGCAGAGGCAGGCAGATCTCTGTGAGTTCGAGGCCAGCCTGGTCTACAGAGCTAGTTCCAGGAGGGCTCCAAAGAGAAACCCTGTCTTCAAAAACAAAACAAAACAACAACAACAAAACAAACAAAAAAACCCTCAAAACAAAAAATTGTTATTCAAGGCAGCTCAAATAAGGCTGCTTCTAAGAACAAAAATGTAAAAATATAAAAGCGAAACAAATACATTAGCTACAACATTGGTGTCAAGTCCAGACACTATTTTAGAAAGGAAAAGTTACATGATTTCGCCAGGTTCAATTGGAATAAGTCAGTAACAGCTGGATGTGGAACTCATTATGCTACTGTAAGATTTTTGCTTTTATTTTTTAGCATCAGTCATGTGTCTTGAGCACAAGTAAGAAATTGTATTGAGTAATACAGCAACGAAGTAGTAGGAAGTCGTTCCTTTGCACACAGACAGTACCTGTAGGTTTTTTTTTTTTTTTTTTTTTTTTTTTTACGTGTTAATTCTGTTGCCACTGAGTGCTGATGGACTCTGGACTTTTGCATCATGAAGAGTCTTTTTTAACTCTTAACTCAGGACAGGAGAAGAAATCAAGTCTGGCAAATGGGGATAGTCCTCGGATGAGTACAACCTTACTGCTTGTGGGCTAAGAGTAGAGGAAGGCAGAGCAATAAGAACACCCCCCCACCCCCAATCCCTCCATTTCCTGGTTCTGTTCCCAAGCTGGTGAAGGCTTTTGAGTCTTCAGGAAACATAATTTAGTTATTCTAGCTATTTATTAAAAAAAAAATCTGTATAATTTACTGTTAACACGTGGTCAAAACAAACCTTCCAAACACTAGACACAGCCCTAAAATAAGAAGTGGAAGTAACTCTTTGCAGACCTGCTCCTGATTGCTACACTCCCCAATGCTAACATTTGTCACAGCTTTCCAAATGTTTTCTAGCTATAGCTGAACAGGTGTGTACTTTTCGTTTTCTTTGTCCTAATAAATCGGAGCTTGAAAACACAATGAAAAAGTACCTGTTTTGCAATTAATGGACTTGGGCTTAAATCTTTGCCACCTTGCTTATTGTGTGATTCTATAAAAAATTAGTTCTTTTAGCTTCAATGTTTTGTGAAGTATACAAATAGCAATTACTTCGTAAGGGTCTGAGGATTAAAATTTGAGTGTGTGTGAATCACTTAACGCAGTGCCAAGTCGTTACTGTTCAATAAACACTATTATTGTCTGTGACAAGTGACCTTTCATAAGAGTTAAAATAAGGAACCGTGTTCCTGTCATATTTTGATAGCTTCCGTTAAGCAAACAAATGTTGCTCATTTCTAATTACATCTAAGTGGGAAAAAGAAGTTGCTTTTCCAAAGACTTAAAACCCAAACTACATTTAAAGGAGATCCTCCATGTCTCCTCAGTTCCAATATCCACTGAGGCTTAGATAATGGAGTCTCCAATTAAAAAGCAAAGCAAAACTTTCGCTGTCTCGCGGCGTGCCGAGAGGACGCTCCCCACCCCCCCCCCTGGTGTCTCTAAACCCGGTGGGTGCAGCCTTTGCTCTCGTCAAGCAATCAAATCGCAGGGTTGGCACCCCCCCACCCCCGGTAAGTTCGCCTTTCTGCGGTCACGCCCCTCCGTCCCCTCCAGAGGCTTCAGGGACGGCGACCCGGGAGGCGTATCCTCGAAGGAACCCAGGGGGCATGGTGGCCGAGGGGAGCCTCCCAGAGCAGCGGCTGGGTGCGCAGCTGGCCCGAGGTGCGCACGAGGGGTGCAGGCAGCTGGCAGCGGGGGGGGGGGCGGCCCGAGCGCGCGCGGGAGGCGCCTGTCGGGGCGACCCTGGCACCGGGTCCTCCGCCACCTTTCTCGCAGCATCGCCCCCGCCGTCCGCGCACGGTCCCTCGGCCTCCACTCCCCGGGGCCGGGCCTGTGCCCCCGGCTGGCGGGCGGGCTGGCTTTCTTTTTGGGCATTGCCCTTTGCCCTCGCCTGGAGTCGCGTGTTGACTCTGCCTCCTCGCTTGCAGCCAGTCACCCGCAGGTCACCCCCGTCCCTAGACCACGGCCACCCATCGCGACCGACTCTCGGGGCTCTGAGGTCTGGGCAGCCGGGGAGATGCTGGGGCGGCCCCGGTGCGCGCGGGCCCGCGCTCGGGGGGTGGTGGTGGTGGTGGTGGTGGTGGTGGGGGACGCGGGACGCCAAGTTTCCGCCCCGTCTGCGGCGCGGTGACAGCGCTCGCCCGGAGGCGGCCGCGGCCGGGAGGCGGAGGGCGGGCCAGCGCGGCCGGTGCCCGAGCCCCCTCCCCTGCTCGCGAGCTCGCGCGGTCTGTGTGTGTCTCTCTCCGCAAGTGCGGAGCCGCGGAGGAGGAGGAGGAGGAGGAGGAGGGAGCTGGGGGAGGATCTCCATTGAAATAAACAACCAGCAGTTATTAACACGGGAACATGGCGGCCGCAGCCCGGGCTCCCGCGGCGGCAGCGAAGGTCAGCGCCGACGGCAGCCGGCACCTGACGGCCTGACGGCCCCGCTGGTAACGGCGCCTCCCCCGGGGGCCCGCGGGCGGCGGGGCGGGGCGGGGCGGGGGGCGCCGCGTCCCCACCCGGGCCGCTGCCCTTGGTGCGCGCAGCTCGGCGGAGCCGGCCGGCCGGGCGCGCAGGGCGGGCGGGCTGTTGTTGTGTGCGGGCAGCGCTGCCCGGGCGTGCGGAGCCCGCGGCGCGCATCCTTGAGGCGCGGCCGAGCCGGGGATCCGGCTCTGCTTGGAGGGGGTTGGGGAGGGCGGGAAGACGCCGAGTCCCCGGGAGAGAAAGGAGGCGCTCGGGCGCCGGAGCTCGGGAGACGAGAGCCCCGGAGCGCGAGGCGGGCGGAGGCTCGGTGAGCACCAGGCCGGGCGGGGGGCAGCGGCTGGCGGCGGTCTCGGGCCCCGGCCCCGGCCCCATCGGGGGCTGCGCGGCGGAGCCCGGGGAGGCGGCGCCCGGGCGGGCGCAGCCGCTGCTTTCTTCCGCGGGCGGCGTGCGGCGGCTGCACGGGTGCGATCCGGGCTCGGGGCGGCAGGGGCCGGGCAGTGCCGGGGGTGTGTGAAGGTGACGCGGCCGGCAGGGGCAGGGGCGGCGGCGGCGGGGGCTCGGGCGTCCGGGGCCCGCGGGCCTGGGTGGCTTCGGGGCGGCAGCGCTCGGGCCGCGCAGGCCGGGCCGCGGTGGGGGCGGGGAGCCGGGGCCGGGCGGCGGCGTTGGCGGCGCCGCGCCGGGCTCGCCCCTGACTTAACTTTCTGGGTGCGGGCATGTGTGCCGGAGGCGCGCTGGGGCCGCGGCCGGGGGCGGGAGGCGGGCCGCGAGGTTCCGGGTTGGCTCGGCAGCGCCCTCGCCCCCCTCCCGCGGGCCCCCGCGGGGATCGGGCGCTCGGGGCCCCCCGCGGGCGGGGGACGGGGGTGCGGGCGGCCGGCCGGCGCGCCCGGGTCACGCCCTGCACCGGGGGACCCTCCTCCTCCGCGCCCCTGCAGGCTCCCCGGGGAGGCGGCCGGGCCCGGCGCCGCGGGCTGCAGCGCCCGCACCCCGCCCCTCCGGGGAGTCCTGCAGGCGCCGCGGCCGCGCTCGGGGGTGGCTCGGTCCCTGCCTCCATGGTCCCTCCCTTCCCCCTCCCGCGAGCGAGCGGCTTCCGGGGCCTGCGGACCGAGGGGCGGGAACTGGGGGGCCCGAGCCCCGCGCTCGCGGCGCCGCACAGCGCGCCCGCCTGTCACCGGCAGGGGAAACTTTCCCAAACCGGAGCCCGAGCCCGAGCACCCTCCCCCGCCGCCTCGTCCTGCGATCCCACTCCCACCCCACCTCCTCCGACTCCTTCCCCTCCCACCGACCCGAATCTGGCCGTGCCTGACGGACGGGGCAGCGAGCCAATAGGCGGCGGGGATCTGACCTGCCGGCTGTCGGTCAGCCAATGGCGGGAGCCAGAGACAGGCAGGGGGCGGGGCTTCTCCCGACCAGTCAGGGTTGAGTTGCACGCGGGGCGGGGGAGCCATGGAGACGCCGCGAGCCTTCTTCCAGTCCGGCGCGTCCCTCGGTCGCCCGCGCCTCGGCTCGTGGAGTAGTGTCACTCACAGGATCTGTGACCTGGGGAGACCCGCAGAGGTGCGCGAAGACAGTGCTTTGCTCTGGTGCCGCGAGAGGCGTTGTTGTGTAGACACGGCAAAGTCTGAAAGCCACTTTCAGGATGTGGCAGGCAGGCAGGAGCTGCGAGGCCCGGTTTTTAAAATGGCATATGTTGGCAGCGGCCGCGCTCTGGACCTCAGCTGCGCCAGGTGTGCGCGCTAGGGACCTTTGAAGGTCTGCGTTAGTTTGCCTAGGCTTCTGCTCTGCATCGGGACGATGGAATTGAAAGGGCACCCCGAGGGCGAAGGCGCGGGGTGGCCTCGTGTCAGGTGATCATTAGAAGCGCTAAGGCATCCTTGTTTGGAATGGCGTCACTGGCTCCTTGTTTAAGCAGACCACCAGTTCCCAAAGTGTACTCTTTTAAGTTTTGTGTTTGGTCTGGGTGTGACGTTTTGCAAAGTCGCGGTTTATGCTTGCGTTTTTGTGTTTTGTTTTTTTAATTATTCCTCTTGCTTTTTTGGGCAAACAAAATGAACTTATGTACCAAAGCATCACGGGCACTAAGCGTGGGTATTTAAAGCGCAAAACTAGGCAAACAATATTTGTCAGTAGAGGAAAAAAAAGGGGGGTGGGCGGGGTGGGGGATAAAGTACAGCTTTCCTGGTTACTGCCATACAAAAGATTCTTAACAATTTTTACTTTCCTTAAACACAGACGACTTTCACAGCATGTGGCTACTTGTAATGTGTAAGAGGTCAAGAGCTAGCTCTGATTGTTTTAACTGTTTGGGTCCAGTGAAGTGACTTTCTTGACTCCTCCCTGCATTTCAGGAACAGGGGTGGGGTGGAGGGGTGGGGTTCACTGGGAGGATCCCAGGTTGCTCAGCGGGAATGGAGGTCTGTTAAAAAAGACAGCAGCTGCAGCCTTGCTTTCTCTGTGTGCATGCCCTCCTGTTCTTTGTTGGTGAGGTTAGTCCACCACCAAGGCAGCAGCCCCGTTCCTCCTTCTGACTGGGATCCGCAGTGTCTTTGGGAGTTCAAAGAATGAGTGGTGTTGAACTAGGAATCCATTCATTTTTTTGGAATCTGTCACCCATGGATTTATAAAATATTTTATGGGAATGATGCTTACTTATGTTTTAATACTGGGTTCTCCAGGGTTTTCTTTTCTCTTCTTTCTTTCTTTCTTTCTTTTTTTCTTTAATTACTATTGGGTTACTAAGAAAGAATTTGAGAGAGACTGTATTGTAAGGAAACAGTAGTCTGTAAAATGTGACTTTCAAATTTATAGTGTAGATTCCCAGCCCCGGTGTAATTTTGAGCATTCTTGTAGAAATAAATTGCATTTTGCTGTCTCTTTTGAAGTGTTATTTTGGTGATAAATGAGCCAAGCCAAAGATAAAACAAGCATTTATTTCGACTGACAGAGGTAGGGAGTATTGTAAATTAATGTGCAGAATGGAGCAGCATTCAGACACTCCCACCCTTAGTTAATTTGGTTACAGAGGGCCACTCCGATGCAGGCCCCTTTCTCTTTCTGAATTCTTAAAAAGCAACCTATGATTTTACTTCCTTCTCTTGAACATGGTTTTTAGATTCTTGGTGGCAGAGAGTGGCAAGTCCCCTAATGCCTGGCCTGGGGAAGAACCTCTCAAGCATATGGAGACATCTAGAAAAAGATGTGCATTGTCAGCCGAGATTCCATTGTGTGCTCTCATTCGGGAGCTGAGCCTTCTTCCTCCTGGGAATTTCCCTCTTAAAGAGAGCATTTCTTCCACTTTAGATGTCAGGGTACAGAGGCCCAGGCTTCCAGGCAGCTCAGCAACCATTGCTGTGACTTTAGTGCTTTGGAGGGACTTCATGATTTCTTTAAAAATTTAACCCTTCATTGGTTAAATATAATTTAGATGACTTTTTTAGTTTGAGAGATCTTTTACTGGACATATAAAAGGTAGTCAAGGGGGGGGGTCTTGGGCTTGTGTAAAGGATGGCATCCTGCCTCCTCCCCATAGTTGTGTCCTATTAAAGCTGGGTCCCTGGAATCCAGGACTTGTGATCATTTTACAAATTGAAGTTAAGGACTCTGCCTACACTGTTTCAGATAATAGGTTGCTGAGTGACCCATACTTTGACAGCTTGGATTTTTGTTTTGTCTTAAGTTTTTTGTTTTGTTGAGACAGGGTTTCTCTCTGTGTAGCCCTGGCTGTTCTGGAACTCACTTTGTAGATCAGGCTGGCCTGGAACTCACAGAGATACACTGGGATTAAAGGCATGCGCCACTACTGCCCGGTTGACAGCTTGGATCTTTAAGAATTGTTTTTGTCCAGTTAGATGTAAAAGCTGTTTTTTGAAGCAGTCCTTATATTATTGAAAAGAAAAAGAAGGAAGAGTAGCCTTTTAAAGCATTTTTTTAAATATAAGGTAACTTTTTTGAAACGCACAGGTGTCTTTCATATGTTGACCATTGTTGTATTGGAATTATATTTAAAAATGTAACTAATGTTTTGTTGTTACTGTGACAAAACCAATGTTAAGATATTGCTAGCAGCTTTTTACAATTTTCTGTTTCTAGTTTTGTTTGGCATTATATACTTTATTGTTTATTTATTTATTTTTATTTTATGTGTATTATTGTTTTGCCTGCATGTATGCCTGTGTACCACACCTGTGCCTGGTACTCACAGAGACCAGAATCCCTTGGAAGTGGAGTTAGAGATGGTTGTGAGTTCCATGTGGATGCTGGGGACCCTGGTCCTCTGGAAGAGCAGCCAGTACCCTTACCTGCTGAGCTATCTTTCCAGACCTGCTGTGTTGATTTATTATTATTTTCGTAGTAATAATCTTTTTTTTTTTTCTAGATAGGGTTTCTCAGTATATTCCTGACTCTTCTGGAATTCACTCTGTAGAGGAGGCTGGCCTCAAACTCACAGAGATCCAATTGCTTCTGCCTCCTGAGTGTTGGAATTAAAGGCATGTGCTGCCACCATCACCATCTGGCTGCTATATTGGTGTGTGTGTGTGTGCGCGTGCGCGTGCGTGCGTGTGTGTGTGCGTGTGCGTGTGTGTGTGCGCGCACGCGTGCGTGCGTGCGTGCGTGCGTGTGTGTGTGTGTGTGCGTGCGTGCGTGCGTGTGTGTGTGTGTGTGTGTGTGCATGCATGTGTGTGTGTATTGAGACAGGGTTTCTCTGTGTAGAAGCCCTAGCTGTCTTGAACTAATCTGTAGCCTAGGCTGGCCTTGAATTCACAGAGATCCACCTGCCTCTGCTGGGACTAAAGGAATGGGCCACCATCACCTGGCTGCCATATTGATTTTTAAAAGAAGGAAACGGAAGGAAGTAAGGAACTACTGTACTGCCTTGGCGTGTTGGTCATCATGAAATCAGAGCAAATCAGGGACTTTCCCTCCCGTAGTGAAATGATAGTAATTTACATAGCAATAGCAAACGCCATGGAATAGAAAACAAAACAAAACATTAGCTTTTCACCTTTTCTTATCAAAAGCCCTCTTTACCCCCTGTGTTTCTTCTGAAGGGAAAAGAGGCTCTTAGTGTTTATGCGCTTATTTCTTTTTTTGTTTTCGGAGTCTTGAAGGGCTTAGGATTTGCAGAGGAGAGAAGGGACACCATTGTCACACCGCTCTCTAAAGCCTCTTAAAGAGTGCCATCTGGAAAAGCTGCCAAGTGCAGTGTAGTGTCAGGGACACGTAATTCAGACAGCATAGGGAAACACGCACTGTATGGGTTCGAGACGCCGCTCTCTGGGTAGAGGTGACAATATGACTTGTGTGGCTCTTTTAGAAGTCTGTGATTTCCCTAGTTGTGGTGAAGATGGTAATAAAAAGGGGTGGGCATCTTAAAGGTACTTGTTGCCAACAACTAGTTAAATGTACTACACACCTTCACCTAGGTGGCATTTGACAGAAGGAAAAGTAGCTGTTAATTCTGATGGAGTTTATGCCTCGAGCCAGCAAATTCCACTGTCCTGGTCCCCGTGTTCAGCAGAGCCCATGTCTGGGCCTTTGTATGTAGGCCTCTTCTCTGCATTCTTTCTTTTTCCCTTTAGCCATTGTTTCATCCATTTGTTCACGGCGTCACGTGGTGGAAACTTGTCTGTTCTGACCTTGACAGTGTATTTGGGAGTAGAAGCTGGGAGTTAGAGAGTCGGCGGCTGAAGAGGGTGATGGTCCACCTTCCTCTTTCTTTCCCTTGCATCCTTGTTTGCCTTCATTTCCCGCCTGACTTGGCTTATCACTCTTTCCTTTTCTATGTCTATGTGATTTAAAGTAGGTACTATCTAGCCAGTTCTGCTTTGATTTGGGATCGTGTTATCTTTTTTTTTTTTTTTTTTTTTTTTTCCTGAGAATGGGATTATGTTTAGAATTAAAAAGTTGTGGGGTTTGAGGATGGCTCAGTCAGTAATGTGTTTATACTGCAAGGTTGAGGATCTGAGTTTGGATTTCCAGTACCCATGTAAAAGCCTGGCCGTGCTGCATCTGTAATCTTAGTGCTTCGGAGCAGAGGCGTGCCAGAGTGAGCCGGAGCACGACGTGGAAGACACCCAGTGTTGAGCTCGGACCTTCCCGCGTGCATATGCACACACAAGTACATGTGCTCACATACCACCCCACAGTTGGTTAAACATTCCCTTGATGGGACCACAGCCTTCATGGTTTGAGCACGGCTGGCGTAGTACTATCTACCTCCTGGGCTTTCTGATGAGTATTTCGTGCTTTTGACACTGGCCACAGACACGTAAATACAAGTTGTTATCCTCATGTTACAGGAGGGTGGAGCTCAATGGGGAATTGACCTGTTAGGGGGAGTCTGACGATGGCTTCCCATTAGGAATCTAGGGTACAGTAAGTGTCCTTAGGACCCTCATCTAGTTGTAAGCTGTAATGTGAAGAAACTTTGGATATGAATAGTGCAAGTTCTGCAGGTGCCGGGTTAAAGAGCCTGACCTTGGACAGAGAGGTCATGACCTGTAAGTCACGTCTAGCCTATACCTCAACCGTTCTTGAAATTTTAAGACCCTCTTGCCCTTTAAATGTCAAGAAGTGGGAAACGCAGGGAAGTGAAGTGATGGTGTTTACCAAATGTTTGCTGGAACCGCTTTGGAGTGAGATGCCCCTCGATGGGCTTGTGCTCCTATCTTACTTGGGTGCAGGGAAGCTGTTCACAGTTGTAGCGTGTCTGTCTTGCCACTCAGGAAGGAAATGGGTACACAGCGGCGAGGTAAACTTCCAGGGTCACACAGTCAAGCTGTTGCAGTGCCTTGGAACCCAGGTGCCTCTTGCTTTGGGCCTGCTTGGTCGGGATTCCTGTTGACTG